ATGTAGTTATGAAAAAGTCCGAAAATGATGAAAGATGGAACACTCGTTCTCCCGGGAACGCTGCTCCCCTGTTTCAAGAATAAGGCCCCTGAGAGCTTGTAGTAATTCGTTTCAAGATCAAGAAACTTTTGGTGAATATTTCAATTGAGGTTTAAAGTCCCAAAAAATGCAAGGTAATATTAACCCAAAATAACATTTATTATTTTGGAATGCACTTTTTTCATTATTTGACAACTGTCAGAAAAACGAAGTCATTACCTACGAGGGCTTTTTCATAAATTCTGATTATTTTAAATAAAATTAATTTTAACACTTTCTGGAATTCGTCTGTAGGAAGGTAATAAAGACAAACTATATGTAAAAAATCCTCAGAAATCGATTTAATATATTAGGCCAAGCAATGAAGGAAGTTTCATAACTCAACATAATTAGAAGTTAACATTTTTTGGGGGGGATCGGTCCATTTTCATATGCCTAATAACATATTAAGTTTGCGACCTTGTACTTCCATAGGGTTTTTAGTTAGGGGTGGTTTTTAGGGGTAATTTGCGGTTTATGGAGAACGCTGCTCAAAGGGATGGTCCAATAGCAAAAAGTTTCAAATGATTGTTGTAGCTGAAGTTTTTTGCTATAAAAAACTCAGCGACAGCATCCCTCTATCTTCTATAGTTTTTTTTCTGCAGCGTCCTCCGTTTAGAAACTAGTGAATGCAAAAAAAGGGTAGTTTTCGATGCAATTTACAGCTTTCTAGCACATTAGGCGAGCCCGTGCTCGCTTAATTTTCAAGCCAAAAATTCGATCGAAAAAGCATTGGAGAGTGCATTTCATTAGCAATAAGGTAGTGTTTGAACAATTGAAATCGGATTATACATTCGGCCGCTACTGCACCAAATGCGCGTAAACAGGCGAAACGATGATTCAGTGACCTTGAACAAAAACATGCCACTATTCAAGCCGCTGCAGAAAAAAAACTATCGAAGATAAAGGGGTGCTGTCGCAGAGTTTTTTATAACAAAAAACTTCAGCTACAACAATCATTTGAAACTTTTTGCGATTGGACCATCCCTTTGACCAGCGTTCTCCATAAACCGCAAATTACCCCTAAAAAACACCCCTAACTAAAAACCCTATGGAAGTACAGGGTCGCACACTTAATATGTTATTTAGCATATGAAAATGGATTGATCCCCTCCAAAAAATGTTAACTTCTAATTATGTTGAGGTAAACCCTCTTTTCAGATCCCCGTTTCTTGGACTATTTATTGAGTTGCAATATTTGACAACTCATAACTATCTTATCCGATAAGTTATGGTAAAAAGTCAAACCAAAATTGTGTGAAATTCCATCAAAAATCCATTGCTAGCATTTTTAAGATACGTTTCCATTTGAAATTTCAAAAATAAAACCATTTTTGTATTTTGAGAGTTGGGTTACGCCCTCTTGCGGTCATTTCAGAAAGCTGAAATATATTTCCAGCATTTTGTCTTGGCCATATTTATATGATAATTTTTTTTTCGTCAAGACTACGATGAATAGTTTCTAAGATATGGCCGAGTGCCATTCTTAATGAATCACCCTGTACATACACACGTATTTTTTTATAATTTCAACAAATAAAACCCATTTATTTCTGCATTGTTGCCAATGATGAACCATGTACTGCGTTGCATACATGCATATGGTATAATATCCAAAAAATGATAAACTGGCCACGCCGTGTATCCAACGTGGATACATTTTCAAAACCATGTTTTTTCGAGCATCTAAAGTTTTTTTACATAATTTTTGTTGCATTTTTACTTCAAAATAATATTTTTTTAGCCAATGCATAGGACCCTAATTTTTTGTTACCATTGTGGCACTCAACGTGTAACATTGGTACCTATATCAGCCTATTTAATTAAAATTTTGGGATAATAATTAATTTAAAGTTATCTAAAATAAAACCAAATATTTGATAGATATAGGTATTCACGGTCTTAATTTAGATTTAATTATTTGATTGATAACCTAATGGCTTTAACAGTATAGACAGCGGATTTTCTAAAATTCCTAATTAAAAAGTAATAAATACCTTGTTTATTTTTAAAACAAAATTCAATAAAACTTAAAGCTGCAAATCTTCACACAAAGTTTATCATCTCGGCACTTAAATTAAAATGGGAATTTTATACAAGAATCAACAATAATTATTAATACAAATTAAGAACTAAGAATTATTATCATTCAACATTTAATAAATAAACTGTTTAAAGTTAATTTAAAAATAACAACTAATAAAAATACAAAGAATAAAATTGAAAGATATCAGCTCAACGTGTCTCAATCGAAGATGCATCCATGTTTGAATTTTCATTTAAGAATCAACAACAAAAGTGTTGAAATCCTCAATTGGGTCTTATGATGCCGTTTATCACATTACTTTCCATTACCTAAATTTTTTAGTTAGTTGATTCTAAATTTAGTTGTTTTTTTATAAACTCGCCATAATTAATATTTATTTGACTGCGAGAGACACTGGAATGTCCGCGGATTCCTAACATCAAAAATTTTGGCATTAGTCCTTTTGTTATGTTCCTAGACATTTTTTCGCTCGTCACGTCATTTTTGGATGCAAATAGTTTCGTGCCAAAAATGTTGACGACATTTTCACGCGTTCATCACTTTAAATTCGTTTGGATTTTGAGTGTACGCATTTGCAAATGCAACAAATAGGTTTATAACATGACGTGTGGTGTGCCCATTTAAAAAAATTATTTCAAATTTTTTGATTGCCATAAATCACCCTTGAACTGGATATGAAATAACTTTGAACAAAATTAGTATCTAGTTGTGAAGAAGCAATTTATTTACTTTTTGATGAAGCAATTATTGCTGCCGAAATGTTTAACCTTTGTTTAAAACTTGTTTTCATAAATCTCATTTTTTCTGGAATAAATTATATGCCCCACTCACATTAGCATCCCTATATGTTTAGTTCAAAATGGAAGCATCCTAAACTCAAAAAAAGCTAGGTAAATATTGAAAAATACAATCAACGCGTTTCAAATGTAGAGTTTCAACTGAATGGATACCTACCGATTATGGGTACGCCACTGGTCACAAAGACATTAAAATACAGAGATAAACTAACACATTTTGCAGGTAAATAATTTTAAAACGAGAAAAGATACCGAGATGCGATTTGTTCTGAGAGAATAAGGAGTTTTTGAAGTTTTTTTTCACCGTATTACCGAATCTTAAAATTTGATGAAATTTGGTTTTACAGCGATTTTTTGCAATAAAAATACTGCCTTATTTTTAATAAAACACCTTGTATATTTTTTCATCGTCAGAAGAAAGCCTGATTTTTCTACAATACAAAAATGTATATTTTTTAAAATTATTATCTCGAAAGTGAGAAAAAAAATCATAATTCCATTTCTGAGCCTGGGATCCATTCGCGGTCTATTCTGTTTGATGAAAAGGCTTTAGTCAATCAACCCTGAAAGTTTGAAGTCCCTCTGATTGCTTGAAGTATTTTTCAGAAGCTTCTAAAGGTGATTTGATAGAAATTTTTATATTAGATTTTTGTATCTAAGTGAGAAAAAAATGATAATTCCATTTCTGAGCCTGAGATCCACTTGCGGTTTGTTTTGTTAGATAAAAATAACCTACTCAATAACTCCTGAAAGTTTGAAGTCCCTCTGATTACTTGAAGTATTTTTCAGAAGCTTCCAAAGGTGATTTAGTAGAAATTTTTCATTAGATTTTTGTATCTTAGTGAGAAAAAAATCATAATTTCATTTCTGAGCCTGAGATCGATTCTCGGTTTGTTTTGTTTGATGAAAAGACCCTACTCAATAAATCCTGAAAGTTTGAAGTCCTTCTGATTGCTTGAAGTATTTTTCAGAAGCTTCCAAAGGTGATTTAATAGAAATTTTGTATGATTTTTTGCATCTAAGTGATAAAAAATTCATAATTTCATTTCTGAGCCTGCGATCCACTCGCGGTTTGTTTTGTTTGATAAAAAGACCCTACTCAATAACTTCTGAATGTTTGAAGTCCCTCTGATTGCTTGAAGTATTTTTCAAAAGCTACCAAAGGTGATTTAATAGAAATTTTTACATTAGATTTTTGTATCTAAGTGAGAAATAAATCATAAGTCTATTTCTGAGCCTGAGATTCATTCGCGGTTTGTTTTGCTTCATGAGAAGACCCTTCTCAATAAATCTTGGAAGTTTGAAGTCCTTCTGAGTACTTGAAGTATTTTTCAGAAGGTTCCAAAGGTGATTTAATAGCAATTTTTGCATGATTTTTTTGCATCTAAGTGAGAAAAAAATCATAATTCCATTTCTGAATCTGAGATTCATTCGGGTTTTATTCTGTTTGATAAAAAGACCGTACTGAATAAATCCTGAAATTTTGAATTCTTTTTGATTGGCTTAAAGTATTTTTCATCATCATCATCATCATTTTTGTAAAGTAGAAAAATCAGGCTTTCTGACGATGACAAAATATACGGTTGTTCAAAATATACTCTCTTCCAAATTATTGACGACTGCTTCCTAATGATCTGCTGACAGTTTTTATGTTCCACGAATAAATTCGATGGTTTGGAAGTGAAAAAATCGCCCAAAAACGTCATAAAAGTGGAAAAACTTCAACTAAGCTCCAAAAACTTCTACTTTTCGACATTTTCTAATTAGTTATCCAGCCTAATATAATATAATCGTGCTCATGACGTCATATATTATTAGAATAAAGTGGATCGAGAGGACCACAAACTCTGATGATAACCTTGCATTCCACTATAAATCCAGTGGCGTTTTGATGTTTTATTTTGTTTATGAAAATGAAATTGATTGACATGTTATAATAATTATTATTATATAAGTATACGAGTTCAACAAATATGATCAATAGTAAATAAGCAAAATGATCAATTTTAATCAAATAAACGTTCTCTATAATTATTTTTTTGAGTGTAAAACGAGTTTTTTTTTTCTAAAACTTTCAGGCTTTCGCGAGCTAGAATGATCACCTCAATATCCGCTGTGGAAAACTGTAGAGGATCGTCATTGGATAACGTAGAAGAATCACCTCTAGAGGTCCTTTCGAGGGCGGCCACGATGGTGCGGCAGGAGAGCCAGCAGGCATCTTTAGGGGGTAAGTGCGTTTTGCAATTTAGTAGAATTTTGAATTCCGCACTCTTCTTTCCAAAGTAGTCAAAATTTGAATGATCAACTTCTCAATATTAATTGTAACTGTCCGATTTCATTATGGTGAAGAAGATGCATTCGTTGACTTTTTTCTCCAGCAGTGAGAACCACTGGCATGGCATATTATGGCCCGGACACCCTGTATGTTAATGTGGTAATAAAATACAGGGTGTCCGGAAATAAATGCAACAAAATTTGTTCAAAGATTCTTGAAAAAAAAGAGGTGATTCATATTTTTCATTTTTGATAAATGGAGATACAGTCCCCTGAAATTCGCCCCTGAGTTCATAAATTTTTTTTTTTGAATTATGTATTATCGTACACAATATTTTTTTTTTTTTTTTGTTATCACTTTTAATTTGTCACAACACAACTGGCAACAGCTCTGCTCGATCAAAACTTTAAGCCAGCGGCCACCGGAACAGCTATTCGTGCTTTGTCGATGGAGTCTTCTTCAATGAATGATAACACAAAAGGGAGTCGCGTCTCTGTAGTGACGTCACAAGGGTATCGGCGATTGTCAATAATAGGCAATCCTCCTTGCTTATAATCCTTGGGTTGTGTCAATCGTTCGTGGGCTGTCATTATCATTAGCTGTCTTTCTCCGCCTCTCTACGTTATATCTTTCTTCTCTCTCGTGTAACGAAATTTCCCAAAACGTGCAAGTCTTTCAAATTACTCTCCATTCTCGTCCAAATATCAGATAGCTGTCTAAGAACTTTTCACTCCAAAATAAATCATACCCATTGAGTTTTATCAAAAATAAATCTCTCAAACAAATAAACCCATCAAATTCATATATCTCTGTTGAATTACAAGCAAGTTGACATAAATTATATGCCATTGGAAAGAGCATTAAATTCTCTATAAATCTGTACAAAATTGAATTTGATAGCTCAAATGGTTTTTGAGCAATTGAGCCTCAAAGTTGACTTTTAGTCAAAATTTTGTCAAAAATTTCAAACTCAATTTGCTCAAAAATTATTAATCTAGGAATATTGTAAATTACAGGCCATTTAGAGCTTAATAAGATCTACAAATGCTCAAAATTTCAATGCAAAGTGCTTAACAGTTACCGAGCAATTTAAGTTTGAAATTTTTCACAAAATTTGGACTAAAAGTCAATTTTGACGCTCAATTGCTCAAAAACTATTTGAGCTATCAAACAATTTTGCACAGATTTATAGAGAATTTAATGCTCTGAATATTGTAAATTACAGGCCATTAAGAGCTTAATAAGATCTACAAATGCTGAAAATTTTAATGCAAGTTGCTCAACGGTTACCATGCAATTTAAGTTTGAAAAATTTTGAAATCAGAATTCAAAGGGGGTGGGGGGGGTATGATACTCCCTTATGAAAAACTCGATTTTTTTATGTTTCAGTTTTGCTCAATTTCGAATTTATTATTCGATGGAGCGGATCAAAAGTAGTGAAAAACAACTCTAACATCAATTCCAAATGTCCATTTTAAGCAGAAACCAAAATAAAAATAAAAATCCCATTTTTGGCTCCGGAAAATTTTCGAAATCTTGACATGGTCATGAACATTTGCCCATATCTTTGTTACATTTCAAGGAAATTTATATAAATTATACATCATTGAAAAGAGCAATAAATTCCCAATAAATTTGTTCAAAATTGAGTTCGAAAGCTCAAATGGTTTTTATTTTTGAGCAATTGAGCCTCAAAGTTGACTTTTAGTCCAAATTTTGTCAAAAACTTCAAACTCAATTTGCTCATAAACTATCAATCTGGGAATATCGTCGAATAGTAGGAGCTACAAATGCTGAAAATTTCAATGCAATTTGCTCAACGGTTACCGAGCAATTGAGGTTTGAATATTTTGAAATCAGAATTCAGAGGGGATGTACCCTTATGAAAAATTCGATTTTTTTATTTTTTAGTTTTGCTCAATTTTGATTTTTTAATTCGGTAGAGCGTCAAAATTAGTGGAAAACAACCCCTGACATCAATTCTAAACGGCTATTTTAAGCAGAAACAAAAATTAAAAGAAAATCCTATTTTTGGCTCTGGAAAATTTTCAAAATCTTGATATGGCCAGAAGCAATTGCCCATATCTTTGTCAAATTTCAAGCAAATTGAAATAAGTGATACACGATTGGAAAGAGCATTAAATTCTCTATAAATCTGTGCAAAATTGAGTTTGATAGCTCAGTTGGTTTTTGAGCAGCTGAGCCTCAAAGTTGATTTTTAGTCCAAATTTTGTCAAAAACTTTAAACTCAATTAGTTCAAAAACTCTAAATCTGGAAATATTGTAAATTACAGGCCATTTAGAACCTGATAAGAGCTACAAATGCTGGAAATTTTAATGCAATTTGCCCAACGGTTACCGCGCAATTGAGGTTTGAATATTTTGAAATCAGAATTCAAAGGGGGATATACCGTTATGAAAAACTCGGTATTTTATTTTTCAGTTTTGCTCAATTTTGACTTTATCAATCGATAGAGTGGGTTAAAATTAGTGAAAAACAACCTGACATCAATTCCAAATGGCCATTTTAAGCAGAAACGAAAATAAAAAAGAAAATCCTATTTTTGGCTCTGGACAATTTTCAAAATTTTGACATGGTCATGAACAATTGCCCATATCTTTGTTACGTTTCAAGCAAATTGAAATAAATTATACACCATTGGAAAGAACATTGAATTCCCTATAAATCTGTGCAAATTTGAGTTTGATATCTCAAATAACTTTTGAGTAATTGAGCCTCAAATTTGACTTTTGGTCCAAATTTTGTCAAAAATTTCAAACTCAATTTGCTCAATAACTATTAATCTGGGAATATTGTAAATTACAGGCCGTTTCCATCAACTACTTCAGGGGAGCCTTAACGATAAGTATTCCTTAAACTGACATTTCTTCAGGGAAAACTGTCATTTTGGGGAATACTCCGTTAATGCCTCCCTAAAATAGTTCGTGGAAACAGCCATTAGAGCTTAATAAGAGCTACAAATGCAGAAAATTTGAATGCAATTTGCTCAACAGTTACCCATCAATTGAAGGTTGAAGATTTTGAAATTAAAATTCAAACGGGTACTCTTATAAAAACTCGATTTTTTGAAGTAAGATTTCTTAGGCGGCGGTCTGATATTTGGAGAGAATGGAGAGTGTTCTGAAAGACGTGTCACGTTTTGCCAAATTTCGTTAGACGAAAGAGAAGAAAGTTGTAACGTAGAGAGACGGAGAAAGACAGCTTATGACAGCCGACGAACGGTCGACACAAACAAAAGATGTCGGCGGCCCTGCATTCCATCACATTTTGTCATTTTTCTCGAAAAAAATGTGTTTAACGAAGAAATTTCAAGAAACAAGAAGTTTCTAAATTGAACACAGCCAAAGTTTTGAGGCTCCATTGACCGGAGGCCCCAGATAAACATTGAATAGTCTTAAAATTTTCTAATTTGAGCCTGTAACTTTTTTAATTGGAGAGACTCGAATTTCGGACATTCTGTAAACATCTTCAGACACGGTGTCTAAATTGAATCATTGCTGGATGCATAGTGGATATTATTTTAATTTATGTTGCATGGTATGGTGGCGCCATCTCTTGATCTAAAGGAGACAATTTTTGCGCTGCGCTGCTATTCTCATTATTACGAATATTTAAGCCTTTACTTATACCAACAGATCTATTAATCCCTCTAGTACGATAATTTCATTTGAAATATACTTAAGCATAATGCAGCAATTTATCAATCACAATTTAAGTCCCATTCAATTTCCAAACGTCTATGCTGTACTAGCAACATCCGTTTTCGCCTAATATCCATTGGCCTAAATACTTTTACGAATATGTAGTTTCTTGTTTCTTCAGTCAGTTCTGTTCTTTAATAACGACGCTTCAAATATTCTCACGAAGATACCATAAAAACGTACAAATATGCTGTGGCCGACTCCCATTTATTCGATCGTACTTTCTACAGAACAGTGCATTTTATTCTTGTAATAATAGTAAGTATACCTACTAAGTATAGATAGGTACCTATATAGTTATAGTCATTCATGGAAATCTGCATTATTGTTTTTCATTTTGAATTGAACAATATGTACTCACTCACACTAAAATAAAGGTGCTACTGAGAACTGATTAAAACAAAAAACAGAGAAACAGAACAGAGGAAAAATTCTCTCCATTTCTATTTCTCCTATTCATGGAAGTCTTTGTTGTTGCTTCTTTTTCCCGAATTCTAAGCAAACTTTTCATGTTTTTCAGGGAACAAAAATCGATTATTAACTACAGAAGTCTAAATAAGGTGTTTAAAAGCAGAGGCAGGCGACAAAATTTCAAATTGGGAAGGTGTCTTAACTCAATTCCAAAGGCCATTTCAGAATACGAAACGCTATAATACCTATTAGTCGAATAAATAAGTGAAATGACATTCCCACAACATCCTAATAGGATAATTGATTTGGATGTCAACATAATTAACGACAGACAACAAATCGTCTTGTAACTGAACTAATTTATGTGCTTTTTGTTACCAACGGTAAATTCCTGACATTTTTCTAGACATACTGAACTGCCTACCAACGAATTATTTCTAAGCGAAGGATTGTTTGTTGTTTGCAGCAAGGTAATGGACAAAAGATGCTTAGACGGTCTAAATAACCTAGATAAAGTTTTTGCCAAGTAAAGACCGCCACTTGAGAGATGAACGTTCAAAGGAATTCGGCCAAAACAAAATGCGTTGTCGTCACGGTACAGTACAGAATTTATCATGGGAAATTGTTTTCACTAAACCGTGCATAACTTAAAATGTGTAAATCTTTTTGAAAACTTTGATCAAGGGAAGCTATCTAGAAATATTTTGGTAGGTTCAAACTAATAGGATATTTTCAATTTCTTTTGGAAGCACTAAAATGTCCTACCATAAAAATTCTAGTTCCAGTTCAAATGAAAGTTTTTTCGTTGATCTACTTTT